TTTATTGATTTTTTACAGAGAGGAAGGGAGAGGGATAGAGAGTTAGAAACATCGATGAGAGAGAAACATCAATCAGCTGCCTCCTGCACACCTCCTACTGGGTAGGTGCCCGCAACCAAGGTACATGCCCTTGACTGGAATTGAACCTGGGACCCTTTGGTCCGCAGGCCAACACTCTATCTACCGAGCCAAACCGGTTAGGGCTTTATATTTTGACAGTGGCAAGAAGTAGTTTATTGGTGGAGGCAAGGGACCTGCACCCATGAGTGGTGGGTTCAGACCTGGCCAGTGACCTAGAAATCCATGTTCTTGACCAGGTCCTGCAGATAGGCCTTGTACTGCTCTGACGAGAGAGAGAGACTAGCTGTTGGAAATATGCAAGTCCACAGTGTTCTCCAACAAGGAGGCACCCCCTACCTGCACCACTTCTAGCCAAGTCCTGAGGCACGTGGGAACAACCTTGACCATCACTAGCTTCTTGGTCCACAGCTGGTGCTGGGGCCATGGCTCCCCCATGCAGGACCAGAAGGTGTAGCATGGTGAGCATCTGCTTCCTTTGATGAAGGCAATCAGATCTGTCACAAATAGCCCCAGATTGAACATGCTTCCTTCCATCTCTTTGGGGACCTCACCATCAGATCCTCGGCAGCTCCTCACCCACAGCCCAGTATGTGCTGCAGGGGCCCAGCCTCTGGGCACAGAGCCACTGCCCTGCTCCCCACAGAGCGAGTCCCCCGCCCAGGCAGCTCAGCACACGACTCACATAGCCCTTCACGGCCCTGTCTGCCAGGAACGCCCCAGGGTTTGGTAGTGTTATTGGCTGCCCAGGGAGTGTCCTGTCCCCTTCCTCTGACCTTACCAGCTGCAGGCCCCTGGGGCAGAAGACAGTCTGCTGGGAGACTTGGCGCCCCGGTAGAAGGCAGTCACCTTGAACTCCCATCCGTCCTGGGGCATCAATAGCTGCTTCAGTGGGTTTTCAGGGGGCTCTGAGTTTGAGTAGGGAGCAGGA